GACCTTGCTTATCTTGTTTAGCAGAAGAAGACATGGCGAGTGCGGTGACGCGACTTTTGGGTTGTGTAGATGGTGTTACAGCAAAACGATTTATACAGTAATCATGTCTGGCGGACAATCGCATTTTCGTTCAAAATTGGCTTTGCATTCGGCGGGCAGGGAGAGAGTGTTTGGATGGAGTCCGACTAATATTCGTCTGGGCCCGTGTATGTGTAGAAGCCCAGTCCATATGCAACACAAACATTATTAAATAAATATTTACACAAATTAAACAAATTTCTAAATTATCTCTATATATTGAAATATAATATATATAAATATATCATTTATATATTTTAGAAAAAATTATTTTATTAAAACTATTTAAAAAATTTATCCAATTGGTCGGTCAATAATGATTTTAATCCATTTTCACCTATTTGACTGGTCAGCAACCAGTTCTTAACTAAATCACTAACAACTGGTTCCAAGGAATAGATCAAACCGATTAGATGAGTGGCAAGGACTATAAGAGAATGTGTTATCCACACATAAAAGATCGTGGACGTTTTGGAGAAGATCTTAGGAGGATTTAGAAATATTCACCGCAAAATCATTTTAGATTTGGAAGTTCGACTCTTTCAGGAAAGTCGTGTTCAAGGGCACGGTTTTGGAATCGAAATTATGAACATCTCCAAATCACATACATGGATTCTACTTGAAGGAAAGTTACTCTAAAAGAATGATGTTGAAGATCACGTCAATTCAAGGTGTCCTTATCTAGTTAAGAATTGTTTTTTGTCTATATATATTAGATCATGAAATGTAAATAGAAGAGCTGAGTTTTACTATTCTTTCTCCTGAGCATATTGGTAGTTTATTATCTGAGGTTCGCAAGTTTGCAAATTATATTATATAGCTTGTGAATTCAGATTTCAGTTTTGTGTTTCAACATATCTGAAAGATTGAATCATAGGACTTTGTACTTTGGGTATTTTCAGCTTGGGGGGATTCCTGTAATAACTGTTAGTCCACGTTGTGGCCGGATAAGTAGTAAGTAGGACCGGATATAGTTGTGGTAGGTTTAGGAGGAAGTCAGTTATTTGTAATTCTGAACTATATACTGCAGGAGATAACCGATTTACTAATGAAAGAGCTATGAGATGTAGTGGGACGCTCCAAGAAGACAATTTTTTAAATTGCCGCTTCTTCTTATATAATGTGTTCTTACACACGATGCGCACTCTACTCCTCGACCCATTTTTTTTATTTTGGTTCAGAGTTCATACCATTGGATTGTAGAACCCTAGGAGAGACGTGTTAGGAAAAATACAAATCAACAATGCAATAAGGTCATTTTCTCTCTATAATGGGCACTACGGCATGCTTCAATCCATACTATTTTAGAACCGACCTTATTTTTTTTTCTAATTTATATCTATATCTATATCTATATAAAAAGAATAACCATTTACTGAAAATAGTAGCAAAAAAGTCAATGAGCATTTCACGCATACTTTATTTAGAATTTTTTTTTAAATATATGCATTAATTGCTTTAATATACACATTTCCAAATCAGATATAATAAAAAAGATTCTTTACTTCAATAATTTTATTAACATATGTAATAATTTTATTGATATCCATTATGATAAACTACAATTTGATTTTTCGTGATTGGTGTTGATAATATTTTGGTCAACATAAACATGAAAACAAATTTTAAGTCTTAACCATATTTTAAATTGTTTGTCCCATTTTTGTTACGTTTTTCGTGTCTATTTTCTCGTTCTTTTTCTCCCATTTTGAGTCATTTGTGTGGTTTTAGAGTCGTTTTGTCGTTTATTTCGTGTTTCGCGTCTTTGTGAGTATTTCTGTGTTTTTCGTGTGCTTTTCCGGTTTCCTTCGTTTTTTTTTCATTTTTGGTGTGCAGGTTGGAAGCTTTGGGAGGACAAGTTTTCAGTGAAATATGTGTTGTGATTACATAGTTAGATAGAGGGGTTTGTTAGCTACGCGTAGGAAAAAAAGGAACTCAATTCCGAGTTCAAACGAGCCCAAACGAGCCCGAAGAGCAAAGTCCAGCAGGCTGCCCAGAACCTTAGCGCCGCTAAGGCACCTTAGCGGCGCTAAGGCACACAGGATAGCGGCGCTACACGGTACTGGCTCGAACGATTAAGGCACCTTAGCGGCGCTAAGGCCCCCTGCGAGTCCCAGAATGATATAAGAATCCCAAAAACTCGTTTTCTTCTGGATTCTTTTCATTCTCCCACTCCTAGGGACGAACCTAGGACTAGAAAAACGCAAAAAAATTCCCTTCGCCTCCCTTTATTTTTCTCCATCGTTTTTCCTCCTCTTTCCATATTTCTTTTCCATTTCTCTTCTTCTTCTTCTCTACATCTAAGGATTAAGCTTGTATTTCGAATTCAACTTTGGAACTTGGATTGATTGTAAGTACTCATTTCTCTTATTTGATTCATGAATAATGGTTATTTGAGAAGGATGATTATGATTGTTGAATTTGATATTCGTAGCTAAATCTAATTGCTAGGGATAGGGGATGATTATTCTTGTTTAGCGTGCATTCGTCGGGCTCAAGATTGTTCATGCTTATGTGAGTTGAATTGATTAGGAATTGATGAAATTGTGCTTGGTAGTTTGATGTAATCGAAGGGTGACACTTCGATCGTGAGTTGGTAACAAGTGGATATTGAGTTGTCGAGTTTGGTTTTGTTGATTCCAATGATTAGTTGACTAAATACCTTCTAATTAAATTAGCGACTTTTTGAACCGAAAGGGGCGACGTCGTAGACCTAGGCTTGCATGAGATAGATTATTTCGTAACTGAGTAATCTATGGGTTGAGATTGAAATACGTGCTTGTCGATGTCCCGTCCCTTGTTACGAAAAGTTATTAGGATTGGGATAATTGGCTTGTGTTGTATGCTCGAGCTTGTTGGTCTATGTTCAATCCCTTGTTACGAAGAGTTATTGGGAGCGAACCTCTAGATGTTTAAGCGAGAGTGTCAATCTCGAACCGAACGATTAATTGCCCGGCTTTGCTAGAACTTGAATTAATTATCCCCGATTCCCTAGTTTCTCCATCTTTGTTCCATCCACATTTTTAGGTAGATTATTGCTCCTTATTGTTTCTTAGACAGTAATTATTCAAACCCCTTTTCTGATTAGAGTGTTTAGGATTTTATTTTCTTTTTATGTGTTATCATTACCAAAGCTAAATTCTGAACCGCCTTCCTCAAGAGATCGACCCGAGAAATCGAATCCTTGATTCGGTACTCGGTAAAAATATAACAATTTGTACACAACATAAATATTTTTCACAAATGTTGACTTTCATCCTAAAATATTTATAAACAATCGTAACATGTTAAATAATTTTCTCCCTCTAACTAATTAGCCAAATCAAGTTGGTGAATTAATATTTTTAGATAATATTTTTAACCTTTATTTAATTATTAAAACAAATAATTGTTTAATTTAAAATAATTTACCATTTAAGAGATAATGATTACATCATTAAATAATTTATTAATGACTAAATAATAAAATTAAAATATATTAACTATTCTTTACAGTTTCAACATTTGATTTATTTGTGTATTATTGCCAACCATGATAATTTTATCATTTTTTTAATTTTATTTGTTTTCATAATGAGTTTATTGTAAAATATATATTTATAGTGGATAGTATGTTAAATAAACTAATAAAGCCTTAGGATGCAAATTAGAAAAATTCTCTTGATTATGTAAGGGTTTATTATTTGACAATTTGGTAAATCAAATTTTTTTAATTATTATGAGAAAATTAAATTCTAAAAAGCATGTGTGTGTATTTTGTAAACATTTATACACAAAAGTTTATTTTAAACTTTATTACATAAAAAACTAAGAAGAAGAAGACTACTTTTAAAATCTTTGTAAATGATAATAATGACATTATATAACAACAAATATTATAATAAAATAATAAGTGAGTATTATATGGTGAACAATAATAAATATTTTTTTTTCTTATATCGATGAATAAATATATATTGTAAAATCAAATTTATATTAGTACAACGTGTTAGCAGAATGATATATTAATTAAAATGTCAACGTTATGACTAAAATAAATATCACTGATTGAAAGAAGTGAAAAATTGATGATCCATCCCTTATCTTTTGCCAAAATGTATCAATTAATATATGTGTCCCGTGCATCGCACGGGCTATGCACTAGTATTTATAATAATAATAACTATTTACTAAAAATAGTAGTAAAAAATTTAGGAGCATTTAATACATACCTTTTTTGGAAACTTTTTAAATATATGCATTAATTGATTTCATAAACACGGTTCTAATTAAGATCAAATCAGGTATGATAAATAATATTGTTTTCTTAAATAATGTTATTAATATCTGCAATAATCTAAGTGATATCCAATATAATAAATTACAAGATTGATTTTCCGTGAGATCATGTTGATAATATTTGGTCAAGATAAACATTACAACATATTTTAAGTTCTAACCATAATATTATTTTTTTCACAAATATTCACTTTTTATCCAAAAATATTTATAGGTAATTGTAACAAGTTAGGTAAAAAAAAATTCTTCCAATTAATCAGGCGAAATCAAGTTGGTGAATTAATCTTTTCCAATATAATTTTTTCTTAAGAATTATTTCGTCATATATAAAAAATAAAGTATTTTTCAAATTAATACAACCATTTAAGAGATTGTGTTTTTGAGATTTGCTAAATCAAAATTATTTAATTAATATATAAAATTAAATTTAAAAAAAAATATGTGTGTATATTTTGCAAAATATTTATACACTATTTAATTTTAATTTTATTTACATATTTTAAATTGATTACATAAATAAATAATACTAGCGTGCATTAAATATTTTTCATTAAATAAAATAAAAAGAAAAAAAAAACGTACAACTTCTATACTTTTATAAATAAAACTAACACTAGTACAATTCCCGTGTATTACACGGGTGTTGAATTAGAAAGCTTTTATAATTTACTTTTTTTTTTAAAACTAAAATACTTTAATTTCATATAAAACATTACTTTGGGCTTTAATTAAATTGTCAAATTATATTTCATTAATCATAATAATTAA